CTTCAAGTGTCAGAAAGTGTTGACATCAGAGGGTGTCTTGACTAAACCCCCAGTCCACCTACAACTTCCAACACACACACACACACACACATATACACACACACACACACACACACACATCCGGGCATCCGCAAGGCAACCGATGCTTATATTGATGTGTGCGAGCAGCCTGGCGGTTGAAGGGCCCAAAGGACCGTCCACAAAGACCCAAAAGAAGGGCTGAGTCACCGCTGTGTGTGTGTGCGTGAGCCCATTGTGTCATCCTCGTCTGCGCCGCGACCTCTGAGTGGAAGTCTGGCATTATCATTTATGATGAGCTCGGAGTGCTCAGCTGAATGGATGATGTTACGATCACTGTGTGTCTGTGCACGTGCGAGTGTGTGTGTGTGTTTTCGTGCCTCTCATCTCCATATAAATGGCCTGCAGGGAGAATGGATGGTTTCTATTTAAAATTGTTGCTGTGTTTGAGTGCGTATGGTGTGCTATTCTGGGCCTGAGCCACGGCTATCGTACAGTCCATTCATCTGCAGACACGAGACGATCGCCACAAGACTTCCGTGGTGTGACTGTGTGTTTATTACTGCTATAGAGATTTGCATTATGTGGTGTATCTATATTTGAGACGAGTGTGGCGATGATGAAGTCGTTTTTTTCTTGCTGCATGTCTGACCCATCCAGGATCCACCCTCTTGCCTGGATAAACATTTTTCTGGCTGCTAACAAACAGTAAACACAAACTCCAGATTGATAAGTAGGTGACGTGACAGATGTTTCAGAAGTTGCTAATCGGTCTGAAAATTTTACATTTGATGCAAAATTTGATGCTTCCAAGTAAGTTTGACGAAGTTGAAGTGGAGCACATCAGCTTCTTAAACTGATCCAGAACATGCTGAGTGCCTTTCGCCTTCATACCAGATTAGGACACAGTGGTGGAAAGTAACTAAGTACAGTTACTCAGTTTTGGTTTTGTTGTATTTTTCTTTTGCTTCCGATTTTCTTTTTCTTTTTGGTTCTACTTCTCCTCCATTGCGATTTGAATGTTGCTCTTTTAAGTCCACTGCTTTAACTTCTGGTTAATGGTGTGTGTTGTCTCCTGTCGTGTTATTTTGGTATTTGTGGACAGGATATCAGACAGAGGAGGATGTCTGGTTTGGAAATCTCAGAAACTTATGTCTACTTCTTTTTTGCAGATGATGTGGTTCTGTTGGTTTCAGCAGCCTTTAGCGCACACTGGGTTGGTTTGCATCCCAGTATTAATCAGAAGAAAATGGACGGATGGACGTAGTTGCTGGTTGCTTTTTAGACTTCAAATAGTACAACATAAACGACAAATTACAGTATGATATAATATTATAGATTAACTTTATTGATCCCTGAGGGGAAGTCACAAGTTAGCCAGCAGATAAACTATGAAAGAGTGATGAACACATGAATACATCAATAATTACATTGCTTATTGCAGTATGGAACCCTGCAGAATGAGTACTTGGGTGTATTTTGAAGCTAATGCTTTTGTACTTTAACTTAAGTAGGAATAAAATGCATGCCTTTACCTTGTAACAGGTGAGTTCAGTTAACTGAATTTCAGGATCTGAGTCTTCCACAGCAGAAACAAGCTGATCCCTTCATTTCAGATGCCAAACATGTTGTGTTTGTGGGGTTTAAGAGCTTTTATCCACTAAAAACAAGGTCTACAGCAGCAACAGACAACTAAGGTGAACCGAAACAGGAACATTAACAGATTTATTGTGGCAGAGAGGAACTGCACAGTTAGGAGATGAGTCACAAGTTACCATTAAAAATATTGATTACAGTCATTAATCTGTGTCTGCACCATGCACGCCGACAGTCTTTTTTTTTTTTTTTCAGATTTCGTGCTGGCTGTATATCAAGATTCAAGAGCTTCACTGTCAAACGCACGACAACACAAGCAGGCCATTGGAGGCAGCGAGGTTCGGCTGCCTCTTCGATCTCTGACTCCCCATCCTTCCCTGCCTCCTGCTTTATTCGCAGTTTCTTTCTGTTCCTCGCCATTTGCCTCTCAGTCACTTCAGATAAGAGGGAGGGATTTTCTGTTTGCCTCTCCTCCTTTATCTTTTTTTTGCTTTCTGCATCTCAATCACCGCCGCTCTCCCTGTGTGATATGAGTCTGTGCGTAGTATCGACTGTGTCTGACTCATTCTAAATCTGGATGTGTGACCCAGAAAACTATTCTCACAGCATACTTCATCTGTATGACTAGACTCGTTTTTTTTTTGTTTTTTTTTGGTCGTGATTCAGATGACGTTAAACACCTCATTTGTTGTTACAATTTCCATACAGCGTGCAGCACTTTGTAGCATATGCAAAATCTAAACATATCTTCATGTATTATTTGTTGAATGTTTTTCATGTTATTTTAAAGTATGCTTATTTATTTACAGGTTTATAATTGTATTTTTGAGAGAATATATGCTTTCATGTTCACAAACATATTTCTCAAACTGCACATTTGTTGAGGTGCAACTGGATCTGCCTACAATTCAAAGTGCATTTTACATTAACCTAATATACTGCTTACATTATTTTTTATGGTGTTTAATTCTAATTTTCACCTCAGCACACAAACAAAGAACAAATATAAAAAGAGAATTCAAACTGCAACATTTATAAGGTTAACAAGCACAAAGCTTTAGTGCATTAATCATACTCTGTTGCATTTTTTACACCTCATAAGGTCTACAGAACATTAATTTTAAAATTCTTTTCAACCAAGACGGAAAAAAATAAAGCAAAGACGACTAGAGAATCTACCAGCCTGGTTTTCATGTCGTGTCTCTGCTTGTCAGGGTTAAGCGTTCACTTAAAACTCTGACTTTCCTCTTACCCTACCTGTGCACCAGAGCAGGTTAGGTGTGCAGCATAAGTTACTAAAGCGATGGACCCCTGTGAGAAGTTAACCACCATTGCAGACCTGAAAACTCAGAGTTAAATCCTCACCAACCCCAAACCCTGCTACAGTATATGCTGGAGCTGCCTGTACAAAATACTGTTGGATGCAGTGTTCAGACAACTAGGGTATGTTACTTTATCATAATATTGCACCTTAGCTTTGACCGTCTTGCTCGTATATCGTATATTGTGGTGCAAAATATTCTCCAAATGTGCCCATTTTCCACAGAAAAGATGATCATATTTTAGAATTTCCAGAAAAGTGGTTGACATCGTAGGACATGCTGGTGTTTTTGGCAATCTGCATTTGACATATTATGCAGTGGGACGTATTAAATCATTGTATGGCCTACAATTCAAACTATAAGGCAGTTGCTCATTCTTTACTTAATGATGTACCAAAGTAGCTTCATGCGAATGAGTTACATGGTGACGTAGATAAGAAGAAAAAGACTGGACTTCAAACGAGGCATTCAGGGCAGATAAGGAGTAGTGTTGCATGAAAGAAAATAACTCTCTGTTGTGAGAGTTTTCAGTCCTTTTACACGCAAACAACAAACTAAAGAACAGGGGAAAAACCTGAAAAGCAATAATGTGGACTCCTTAAATCTGATTTTGCAAAAGGGTAGAACTCTTTGGTATCTAAAAATTCTGTTTAACTCACCTTTTCTTTTAACTGTGATGTGTTACCTCTATATTAGACCTGACCTATATTCATCACAAATGATCTGGCTTCATTTTAGCAGCAATATTCCTCAACAAATGTGCAGAGACAAGCCCTACCCGGGGGTTCTGACTGAGTTGGCGTCCCGAATAATCTGCAGCGTGCGAAAGTTAGCGCGTGTTTGCACACCATCCTCTGCTGCAATAAAGACATCTCTCTTTCCACTTTCTGTTCTTACCTAAACATGCAAATTCGTGAGTCAGTCGGCCGTCGGACGCATCACTTGTCACAGCTTATAAGCCTCCAGCACAGAGAGAAAACTTTAAATAAACTATGTTTGACATTAAAAGCAGAAGTTGTAAATCACACTTCTGCTGCAGATTTCTCTCTTCTTCTGCTGCACCTGAATATTCGGTATCTGTTAAAAAAAAAAAAGTCCTTTGGGATCATCTCTATTGTACGATTTACTATCTGGAGTTTTGTTGGCAACTCACAGCCGTGTCTGATTCGTATTACAGCTTATGTTTGCAGAATTGCAACATGCGGTAAAATAAAACTGGAACTTCCAGAGACTGTACAGTACAGGATTTTGTTTTGACAGGACTGAAGGTAGCTGCTTCTGTCTTCTCGTTTGTTTACCACCGAGGTCTGCACGATTTCAAGTTGTGAGTATCTGAGTTGGCAGACAGAGCAGCTATAGCTCCAAAGGGCAGCCCTGCATGATTCATGAAAAAAAAAAATCATCCTACATTGTGTTAAAAAAAAAAAACAAAATTACTCAACAGACAGGAAATCCCAGAAACATAATGTAAACACAAAGACTCACAAACAGTCATGCACTGCAGTCAAATAAAGATGGTCTAGAAGGACAAACATTCAAAAAAAAACTCAAATCTACTGTCTGTCTCCTAACAATATAACAGAATGGTTTGTGTAGTAGAGCTGCTTTACTATCAGGGGACATGAATTGTGTGAATTTCCTGCAAACAGCACCTCTGCTTCCCTTCAGAGAGATTTCAAGGGCAACACCTTGTGTACAGTTGTTCTAATCTGCAGGACATCTGTATCTATCCTCTGAGAGTTCTGCATTATGTTTATTGTGCTCGTCTCTGCAGATAACGCATTCTTTCGGGCACAGTCATTGCAACTTTGTCTTCTAGGCCAGAAGCATTTTGAATGTAAATGGGATTTGGTGTAAACAAAGAATAAATCAATAGCCTGACTCCTTTAGTCTTTTTATGTACAACACACACTACTTAAGAATACAAAATAGCCAAAATACAAGGTCTGAGAAAAAAAAAACAAAAAAAACAATAGGAGAGCATTCTGTGTTCAGTTTTTCAATTTTTTGTTTTGTTTTATCATAAAGCCATTTTGAACGTACAGAGGAGAAAAACAACTCCCATTGGAGGCAGACAAACTTCTTTTTTTATTTACCGTTCATTTGAAAATGTACTTATTTATCTGCAAACTGAATGTAAAGTGATGCTGGTAAACAATTGGAGAAAACTGACTTTCATTAGTTTGCAGCAACGTCTAGCATCGCACCATGCAGTTCTCTGTAAAGGCCAATATGCATATATATACGTACACTGTGCATTGATCTGCTGTGTAAATGGTTGCACTGCTCTTCCACATTACATCTAACAACACAAAAGGTTTCCTTAGAAGTACAGAAGTGCAGTAACTTTGGACTTTTTAAAGGATACAAAGGATAAAAAAGCGAGTAGAATCTCTTCGCACAGCCTCTCTTCAAAACTAAAAGTTGTTTTGAGTACAATTTCTTTGCACGTAGATATCTGCAGGCCGAAAGAATCCTCACGGACACTTAAATTTACATCATGCCGACCGTTGCAGAAACCCAGACACAGAAAGCATGAATTGGCCCGAACTGCAGTGTGTATTTTCATATTAAAAACACTTTTTCTTACATGAAACATTCGACAGTACCAGTTTTAAAGTCTATTAAAGTACACTATGTTGAATCCCAGTTACTCATACAGTAAAATTTAAATACAGATTCGTTATTCTGCATTCACATTGCACCACCCCAGAGCGAGTGAAAAGACAGAAAAGAATAACGCTGAGGTATGAAGTGGTCGACTCAGAGTGACACTTCACAAAAAGGCATCTCGATAAACAACCACTTTTCTTTATGCTCGATCCACTGTACAGTTGATTGTAGCATTTACTGTGCAGGAAGAGAACGACTAGATTTATAACCATCTTGTTTGGCTATCAATGAAAAAAAAGTTCAGCTATTTCGCATGAAAATGTGAGAAAAAACATATTTACACACAGCTCCATCATTCAGTTGTTTTATAACTGAGACCAAGAGGCTGAAAACAGTTTTGTGATGCTTCAGTTATAATAATTTAATTAAATGCAGCTAAGATTAAATCTGGAATTCCAGAGGTCAGGACTTACTAAAGAGGAAAAGCTCAGACAACAGTTTGTCAAGCAGCTTCATTTCAACATGAAAAGAATTTCAAGTTTGAAATGCACCAAATGGAATAAAAGTATTTTCAAGAGAAAAGCACACATTTACTCATTAGTCCAAAACTTAGCAACGTCACAGGAGGGATTTCGCCCTTTTTCTGAGGCCGGATATGTTCAAGTAACAGAAACCTTGATGGCTGACGACGCCACTTTAGCTTGAGCTCTTATTTCCCTGCACCGAGGAGCTGGTGCTGCCTCTCTTGCTCTGCGTCGGCAGCTTGCTCATTTTGTCCTTCAGGCCCTTCAGGTTGTACAGCTTGCTGAAAGTGAAGCTAAACGGAGCCCTCACTTCATCCTGTCCGTGCACCTCCTCCGCTGGTACCATCTGGTTCTGGGTTTGAGACTGGAGTTGCAGGTGAGAGTGTGTATGAAGAAAGGAAGCTTGAGGTTTTGGATACTGAGTTTGGTTCTGCGTCTGTCCGGCTCTCGCCCTGCCCTGTGCCGCTGGAGGCTGTCGAGGGAGGAGGCTGCCGGAAACCTGCTTCCGCCCGGTGGCAGAACCGACAGAACCCGCTGCCCCTGCAGGAGGCGGTCTGGACGGACTTCTACGAGGAGATGGCGTATTATCCAAGACCTGGAGGCTACCGTGGAGCACTTTGCCGTCTGGTTGACTCAGCTGACGGGTTGCCCACGGACGAGGCCCTAAAGACTGGGTAGCTGAGAGGGGCCGAGGGGCTCTGGGCGGTCGGGAAGGGGAGAAAGCCCTGCTGTCGAGCTGCTGAACTCGCTGATTTTTGGAGGGAGAATGCAAAAGCTACAGAAAAACAGAAGAATCTGGGTTATTACAACACCTCAGCAGGTCCTCATATTTATTCTGCTTGTGTGCAGGCAACTTATCTATAATGCAGTGTGAAATTCCTACACTCACAAATACATCACCAAGTGACATAAAAGCTTCGTTGCAAATGGAAAAAAGAAGTAGTTGGGTGCAAATGTGAGAGTCTGTTTGATTTTCACGTTTGTTAATATTACATGACTGAGCTGAGCTATGACATGCCAACGACACCTCAGTGACTATAACAGGCCATTGTTAGGGAGAGAGTAGCGGACTCTTGGAGTTAAACGCCAATAAATGTGAAACTATCAATCTTTTACCGGTTTGTTAATATTGCATCAGTTTGAACCCGTGCTGTGCTTCATTTAAAGAATGCCACTTTAATTCACACTCAGTCTCCTTGTTCAATAATGAACAAGCATCGTGTTTAACTTAGTGATGCTCTGCTGCTGCGTATTCAACACAACTGCACACACTACACGCACACAATAAGGATAAAAATTATAGGACAAAAAAAACTGAATTTGAGAATTGGAGTAATAAGAGAAGATTGATTCAACCCTCACGTATGTGCTGTAAAAACGTTGCTGATTAGCTTAGCACCAAGACTGGAAAATGGCTAAAAACATAATCACAATAATTTTGATCAATGTTGAGATTGCAATTTTTTTAAAATCAGAAATAAATCACTGATTTTAGTCACAAAGTATTTTCAAAGTGCACTGCTTTGATTCCAGCTGTGCCACTTTCATGCTAATGAACACATTTTTACCTCCAATCAGACCTAAATAAGGTTCTTTTTCAGGTAAATTTACTGCATCTCCTAGAAGGGAAAACATAAATGAAACTTTACCCAAAATGCCTCACTTGCTGAATAACAGACACGACTATTTACCAATGTTTTCTATGAACACATCACATGCAATTGCTGCTATCCAAAGCACAGAGAAGCTTTTAATCTCCAAACTCAGATAGGTGTGTGATCAAAATGGACTTAGAAATTGTAAAAATACGGTGTTCTATTTGATAAGTTTTTTATGATTTGAGCACAAATTTTAAACATCAATTCTGCAGTTGATCAGGTTCATTTAACGGTAGGAAGCCAAAATCATGATTATGGTTAATGATCAATTAACTAGTACAATAGAACAAAAGTACAAAGAAATGTATCTACAAGCACTTCTAAAGGTCGTTAATTAAAATGTTATTTAATCTGTTTAAAACTCCAGACCAGGAGCAAAAACTTGACAGTGTTTGGTACAGATATGTATCAAACATGTTTGAGTGGTACTAAACTTCTCACATACCAGTGAATGAAATGTTCTAAAAATGTTCCCAAAGCTTCTCATACATTCATAATGTTTCAAACTATAATATATTTAATATATTCTGTGGTATTGTAGAGAAATACCAAAATTAGAATTAACTGTAAACAAGAAGTTCACAAGAACCAACTTCATGACAATAATAATACAACAATAGGAATCATTATGGTTGATTATGATACTTTTAAAAACAACGAATGATCAAACTGCAACGGTTTATCAAAGAAACACCAGAAGGAGGCAGCTGGATAAAATGCTGCCTCTCAATTTGACTTAGTTGTGGATTTACGTTTTCATGAAATACAGTTGTAAAGATTTGTAGCATGTCTCCTTAATCAGAGGAGAACTGTTTAGTGGTGCCGGCTGAACACAAAGTTAGAAATACACATGATTTGATGCACAATGGCTTTAAATTTTAGTTTTGTTGATGAGACTCATAATTTTGAGTAGAAATATAAAACATGCGCTTCCTTGTCAGTCATACCTTCTGAGCTTCGGTCTCTCTGGTTAACTGGAGGCTCTCTCTCCTCTCTACTCCGCTGGGTCTAAGTGCCGTCTGGCTGGTTGTCTTCTCCCTGCTGGAGGTCACTTTGTCTGGTCCCTTAGATGAAACCGCCTCTGTTTTAAGGTCACCGGTGGACCTGAAAACTTTAGGCTCCGTTCCTTCACCAGTCGATCCTCCTGCAGCCACTCCATCGTCGACAGGTGCTGCTGACTGGCTCGGCACCAACCTTCTCTTAGAAGCCTCTTTAACTTTATCGGGCACTTCTGTTGAATCTTGCGTAAAATGGTCCACTCCTCTGTTAGCCTCCTCGCTGTCTCTCCTCTCTGTCCCCTGGGATTCTCGCTCTACCCTCCTCTCCACCGTGTTCAGTTTCCTCCTTGTTTCATCCTCTTGTTTGACATTTGAGGTGTCCTCTGGTTCCCTCACTTTCTTCACAAGCACAGAAGAAGAGGAAACTCTAGTAGGCCCAGTTAAAGTCGGTGTGTCACTGCAAGAAGTATTCCTGCCTTCAGCGCCTAATGTAGCAGCACCGGGGCTATAATTTATACATGCAGGGCTGGCGCCACTGGTGGAAGCATGATGAGCGTTTGTGAGTGTGAAGCCGACATAATCCTCTGTCGTCCCGCGCTTGAGAAAACCCATATGGTCCAAAACAGGCTCATGGTAAGGGGAGTCGCTGCATTCGTAGTACTCTTCAGAGGTGGTGGAGAGAGCAGAGTCGGGCGTAGGCGTACGAAAGTCCGGCGTGGTTGTCCGTGAATCCGGGGTGGATGCGTGCGAAGGAAATCCATCGGGAGTTGGGGTGCGCACAAGAGCCATGAGCAACCGGGATTCTCGCTCAGGGGTCGGAGAGCGCAAATCTGGCACGTTTGTTTCGGTGAGGTACAAACGCAGGGATTGTGCGCTTGCTCGTGCTTTGGGAGTTTGTTCTTGAAATGTGCCGTCTGTGTTGTGTTTTGCAGCATTTGGCAGACTGGCTGTGGGTGTGAATCTGGCTTGTTTACCTTGCTGATCTGGCGCGTCTGCAGCAGATGTGTTTCTGCCATCGATAGCGCTGACGTTTGACTTGCACGGGCTTTGTGAGGTAGAAACAGGAATGTGTGCTGGAGTTTTAACAGAGTCCACATCCTCTGATACATCTATGTCCTCTGGAGTCAATTTATAGTACGACAGTCTGTCAGGGTCATGTGCAGGGTTTACGTTGCAATTTGTCACATTTTCATCTTTTTCATTTGTAGAAAAGTCAGAGCTTGTTGGGGGTTTTTCTGGGGCCGTGGTGTCAGTCTCTACCGTAGCTGTTTCTGTCTTTGGGGTTATCTTGCAGTCGCTTGACACCAAAGTCTTGGAATCAACATCTTTTGGAATTATTTCTTGACTAGTCACATTGGCTGCCTTTGGTGCCCCTGTGATCAAACCATTTGATTGGGTGTGCAGTTTATTTCTGGTGACCGGTTGCGTTTCTGCTCTGCCGTCACGTTGTCCATTTGTTTCTTTGCCCTTTGTCTCTTGAGACGTCGCGCTCTGTTTTTGCCGTGGCGTTTCCTTTGGTTTTTCTATGTCATGAGTGTCTTTTTGTGCTTCTGGTTTGACTTGATCCAGCAGTTCTGGGACAGTGTGCGGCTCTTTCACTGGAGGTGTCTGCACCACCGCCGGCTCACTGTGGACCACTAGTGGTGCTGTGCTGGTGTTTGTCTTCTTAATGACTGAGATCTCCGGCAGCTTGTGGCTATTGCTGATGCTACTGTCTTTGATAACCAACTGAACAGTACGAGGTTTAGGAATTGGGGGCGCTGAGGTCAAAGAAGAGGACAGAGAAGATGGGGACGAAGGGAAGGGAGGATCTGAAGCTGTAGACGACGAGGGAAGGGGACGAAGGAAAGAGGAGGAGCTGGTGGAGGGAACAGAATCAATAGTATCTGTGCTCTGGTGCTCTGTAGTAAACTCAGTGTGGTTATTTTCAGAACGGGAGGCTGAGCTAACAGACTGTGTAGCAGGAGCAGAGGAGGTGGAAATGTGGCTGTGAACAATGGGAGTGTTGGTGTTAGGAGTCATTTCAGAAGAGATTTCTGGTTGCATGTTCACAGCCTGTCTGTGTGAATCTGCATGCGACAGCACAGTCTTTTCTTTAGCGTCTTCTTCTGTGTTTGGCTTTAAGTCAGTGAGGCCATGCAGTTGAGAAGTATGTACATTTTCCGACTTCAAGACGTGAGTTCTGTACATAACAAGAGCTTTTTTGTTTAAACTAGGTACAGTTTCTGCTTCCTTTTCATTAGTGTTTGTTTCTGGGAGTGAGTCTGACTTGAGACTATTTGTGTGGAAAGTTTGTGTCGTGTGGCAATCCTTTGTCTGGTCAGGAGCTGGTGTTTTACTGTTGGATTGGGTACTAAGGTGTGGTGTATTATGGCCTACATCTGGGCTGGTGGCTGTGCTTGAATGCAGTATGTTCACAGTGTTGAGAGCCTCAGTGGTGTCTTTGTCAGGATTCCATTTCTGCTCAGATGCAGCTGATTTCTGTTCAGGTGCCTCCTTTTGGCTCTTGAAGTCACCAGGAGCCACACTGACTTGTGCTGGTTGTGGTTTGTCCTCCACCAACTTTTCAGTCTTTGTATTTTGAGCTGGTTGGAGTTTATTCAGGTCCTCATAATTAACAGTTAGCTGTCTGGGCTTGGCGACCTCTGGCAAGGTTTCTTTTTCCTTGGCGATTGGACTACTGAACCTGATCGCCTGGCTGGTTTCAAACATCTCATGCCGCTGCAAATGGACTTGAGTTGGTTTGGTGGTATCCCGAATGTTAATAAACCCAATCACATCACTGGAGGGGTCAGGTTCTGGCCAGGTGGGCAGGTATGAGATCAACTGTGCCTTTTCTAGATCCACTAGTCCAGGGTGGAGGGGAGGAGCATCCTCTTCAATGGCTTTTCTTCGCCTGTTCTTCTTGGAGTTGCCTAAATCTTCGGTCTCTTTTGGGCTGTCAACAGAGGTGGTGGGGCTGGGGTTGCTCGCGGCCACCAGGGCATATTTGGGGTTGAACAGTTTCCTAGCAATAGCAGCAGAAGGTGGCGCCACCACAGTCGGCAGTGGGACGGGCTCCGGCTCTGGCTCCGGCTCCAGGGAGACCTTCCGGAGGTTTACAGAGCTGGAGGATGCGTAGAGGAAACGAAACAGTCGGTCAAAGCCATCCACAGCCTGGCCCGTGATCACGGTGATGAGATTCCTGTCGAGCCGCGAGGACATCCAGGTGAAACTACGAAACAAAAGCAAACACAGAGTTAGGCTACATTCAAGGACTGATTTTAAAGCTTTAAATGTGAAGAGATACAAAGGAAACGTTATAAAAGCTTCTGCATATTTCTAAAGGATTTATAACAAAATGAAGGAACTATTGTACAAAAAGTCTCAAATTTCAACTCTGCGCTCTCATCTAATGTAGCTGTTAAGAGACTCAATAAAAAAAAAACTAAAAGTGTAAATGTGTCGTCACTTAGGAACTGCACTGTACATGTATTCATTCCTCTTTCACACTGAATAAGTTTCCAACCTGTTTGTCTACTATGCAGAGAATGTGACTGGGGATTAATAGACGAGATGGATCGTTCATTCATATCCTTTCATACCAAACCTACAGAAACAAAGGCAGGTGGGGCAAACGGCAATAATCTCGTTTCTTTTGCAGCGTCTCTCTTTGTAAAAAACGCACACGCCATTCACACGTAATGCATACCGACCTGTATGACCCGGACACAGCTTTGTCTCCATCGATGAACATGAACCTGTGGCTCATTCGCCCGCTGATCTTGGTGCAGGACCGGGTGACGAAGTCTGCTCCTCCTGTGCAGCGAACACGAAGATTCTGAAAAAAGAGAGAACATAACCATTAATTATACTACCTTTATAACATGGGACCTGCTTAACATAAATTTGCAGAAACATTGACAAATAAATCTTCTCTTCCTTGTCTTGTAATTCCAAATTCCAAGTCAATAAAAGATGAATAGTAACCACAACTTAAAACAGCAACAAACATGTATAGCATTTCATGTCAGGTAAAACAAATTTAGTGATTATTTTATGAGGTCAACTTATTCTTTTCTTTGAATATGTATTAGCTGACTCAGTAATGTTTGGACCACCAGTTAGAGAGACGGGCAGCACTTAGAAATCCGTATAAATTTAAGCCACATCTATCTGTTTTTTAAATTGAACCAAAATAAGTTACACATTAGTACGTTTTAATGAAAACTCCAACAGCCATACAAACACACATATGGAGCAGTAATTTTCCATTTTCCGCCCTTAGGCAAACACCTCCATGTTTTCAGACTTCTGAGCCAGTTACACATTCTACATCCAGCATAAGTACTATGATTAAATGTTACGCAACCAACATGTTTATCGCTCCTGTCTTTACTTGATTTGAGGGCCATACCATTCTCATACATTCTTCTTGACCAGCTTTGTCAGCCTTTGTTGGAACGCGCCTGCTTTAGCAGAAAAGCATCAGTACTGCAAAACAATACTTCTGGATATCAAATTTCCATCTTACATCTTACAGGGTCATCAGTTCCCAGTCTATGTTTTATTGTTTCTCTGCACTTCAATGCAAAGAAAACCAAAATGTAGGATGCTCTTTTGAGAATGTTGCCACCAAGTTTTATAGATGCCCAACTCTACAATTATACAGTTAAGAATCTAGATGACATTTAGGTTGCATTTTACAAGCTGCTGCTCAACAAGCCCTTGCATAGTCTTTCTTTGCAAGTCTTTGAGTGTCTGTGTATACACTAGGGATGTACCTGAATTAGAATGTGACATTTGAGAACAAAAACGAAACAAAAACAAATATTTTCTCCACCCAAAGTTGCTTGTAATAGATTCAAATCATTGTGGAGGCTATGAGGGAAAAAAACCCCAATTCTGTTTGCAACATGAGACGCTAATTTCACTAATTAGCCATTTAATTTAAGACACAAAAAGAACACACAGAGCGATCACTACATTCTGTAGTCGCCCCCACAAGTCAGCGCACAGCAGGCAGCGGCCTGTGAGATTTCCCGGCTATCATTCAGGGAAACACTCGCACTGAGGAAGAGGAGGTGGTGGCGTCATGTACGGGAGATAGTGACACAAAAGCTTGGTGTGGTGTTTGGATAACTTTCAAATCCAAAATGAAGCGTGGCACCAGTAGTTTTTAGCTGTATGTGTAAATGTGTTTAAAAAAAAACAAACAGTTGCATTACCTCGTTTCATTCAATAATCATGTGCTGAAGATGTACAATGCTGTATATATCAGCCATGGAATATCAATTCAGCATCCACTAACTTCTTACCTGTGTGTTTCATGGAAATTTAGGCAGACAGCAATAAGTTCGAGTGAAAGCAAAAAGTGATTTGTGAAGTTTGTGATCGACTCTGTGGCTGTAATGCACAACTATGTGAATTTCAAACATCCAGTCTTCCATGTGAACACAGATTGTTTGGTTGGTTACGTAGATACAGATATAGTATACACATATGGGTGTGACCGTTTGGCTGTAAAGCAATATATCCAATGAGCTGCAGCGGTAAACTTTAACAAGCCTTCTTGATAACACCTAAGTGATACAATAAAAGGTGCTGTAGTCGTAAATGACTAACATAATGTTTCAGATAAGAGATTATACATGAAAGTCTTTCTCAGACTTCCCTTTTTTCTTTATAAGGTAGGTGTAGCAAATATAAACACAATCACCCGACAATATCCTAATAAACCTGAAGTGTACATCAAAATTCAGCATCAAACAAAAACAGCGTTTATTTACTACATACATCATTGCAGATGAGACATACTGTTCCAAAGGCTCCTCTAACAGAGATACAGCAAGCAGCTTTGTTCTGTAGTTAGCTACAAATAAAACTGTTTAAAATTGGAGTATTGATTAACTTGGAAAACCTACACGATTGCATTATATTAACAAGCTGTCTGGTTCACGTTGGTCCTCACTTACTGGTACGTTCAGTCTTGTACATACAGCATATAAGATCTTCAGCAAAACCTCTCACAGTCAAATTTCAAATTGTTCATTCGCTTGTAAGCTGAAAAAGTTATAAAACTGCAATTTGAAACAATTAGCAAACCAAAAAAAGCTGCAATTTAGGATATATGTTATGCTGTACATGTGACCCGCACTTTAAACTGTCAGTAGTTTTACAGATTCATTGATCCTCCTTGTCTCACAGCCACGTTTTTGATGATATTTCATGGTCATGCTGCCTCTTGTTTGAAGAATCTATTACACAGTGGTGTTTGTGCTTAAAAAGATTTAATTCAGCCCTCTGATACTGATAGTACATTTCAAAGATTGCATTTTAATGAGCTGACACCTCAACATGCCAGTATTTTGGTTGTTGTGACTTTAGCCATCTCATTTGGGGATGTTAAAAAGTCCGTCAGCGAGGGCAGGTGCTAAACTGGACTGCAGTCAAAACATTATATAACCACTTAATAAAGCAGATTATGGCGTGGCTGGTCTGAGAGAAGGAACACTTCCTTTGGTCACACCCTTAAACTTGGTTCTTAGGTGCATTCCTCTGATTAACTGATTAGATAAATCACAAAACTGCATTGCTGTGTTTGTATTCAGCGCTAAGATGTGCATGATGAGACTTTCACTGTCATATAAAGTATTTTATGTGAAAATGCAACCACTGATTCAGCTTAAATTGCAAAGCATACTGTAAAGAGACTTGCCTTTTTGATTACAATGCTCAGCCCAAGCTCTGTCTGGTCAAAGGGTCAATGGTGGAGATTTCTAGCATGTCCAGAAACCTCCGAGGACAACCGAGGAGAAGAATCTGGCGGCTTTTTGCCAACTGAGGTGCAAGATTCTTTTTTTTTTTTTAAACTCTCACTCATACGTCAACTCATCTCACTTCTCGTCTGCTCCTCCCCCCATCATGTCTGTCTACCTCCACCGACTCCATCTCCAGCTGAAAATCTCAGGCTGTCACACCTGTCTTCTCCTCTACCTGCCAGTCATCCTCTCATTCAGGATGAGTATCGGCCTCCAAACACTTCTCACTCTTACAGATTTTTTGCGTTAGCTGCTCATCATTGCCGACGGCCACGCAGCTTCTGTAAGAGACTCCTGTTTGCGCATACAGGACCTTTAATAACATAAAACAGTTTCGGTGTTTTCTTTGACAGAACAGGTTCGGCTCCAGAGACTGCTCCCCGATGAATCAGCCAACGGCTGATACATCAGGAGCAAAGCCCTCCAATGTACTGCAGGGCAGAATCTAACCAATAAAACAATTCAATTGAAGTAAAGCATACAGTATATGACTCAGAAATAGATAGAAAAAATGTAAGCCGGCTATAAAACACACTTTGTGCCATTAAAACACTGACTTCATTTCTTAAGCGAACCACACAGTGACATGGGGAAAAAAATTAGCCAGCTGTTATAGTTAATGACATTCACTCAGTGGACACAGAGCCACTGTGAGCTCAGAAGAATAGCAGCTTTGTATGCAGTTTCAAAACTGTGTCAGGTGTACAATGCCTGAGCTGCAAGCTGAATGTGAACTGGGTGAATTTGAGACCCTTTTCTCTCCATAAACATTAAAGGATGCTGTAGCGCCGACTGCATTCTCCAAATAAAGAGCCATTCTGCTATCAAACATTGACTAATCAGCGGGGTCATTACAGGTCAAGTGCACCATGTGTGGCTGTATTACTGTGGAACGGACAGACACTCCCATGTATTTTAGAACGAAGGCAAAAGCAACGAAGATGGTACAAAAACTCTTGCTTAACTAAAACCGCCTCATCCGCCAATCGTGTCGTCTGCCATACAAACATACGCTCGTGTTTCTAAAGCACATACTGTCACATGAGACTGTGGCATTTTCTGCTGTTTTGCTTGCAATCCAGATCCAGATGGTGCTGCAAGTCTGTCAAGCTGTTACAGCCTTTGTGTTTCACTGTGGTTCCTCCAAGGCATAAATTGGCAGGGGGGAGTGTGTGTGTTCTATATCTGTAAGCGTGCACGTCAGTATGCACTGTGCACAAGTTTTAGGCACTTTAGATATTTGCATTCTGATCCACGATACCATCGGGGAGGCGTCTGAAGGGTCCCAAGGTTGTTCTGCAGCGTGACAGCGACCTCGAATTCACACTAAACTCGACATCATCAAGTCAGTCTAATTACTTGAAGATAGAGAAGAAACACAGAGAAAACCTAAATCCACAGACAAACTGTGAAATCTTGCAAAAGCTGTGCGTAAGAGCACCGAGGAGAACAGATGTTGTTTAGAAGAGAAGAGTGGTCACACCTTCATTGATTTGTTTTTTTCTCTCTTTACAGCACTTTGTATGACACCAACGGAATGAAAACTAAAACGGAGTATTTTTTTAAAAGCATCCTCACTTGATTTTTAGTGTCCTAAACCTTTGCACAGTGCTCAGACAGTCTGTGCTTTCATGTGTGCTTCTATTAGGATGGCTTCACCTAGTATAGCTCTTTTGCCAGACAAATGCTGATCAAACACACTGGAAGCCTCTGCAGCATCACTAAAGCAAACAAGTCAAAAGTCTGACTTCTGCCTACCAACTTCTGCCTGCGCAACAATTAGACTGTAACCAGTAGAGCCTTGTCATCTGCTGTTATTGGGAAATTACCACACCTAACCATAGACGCTCGCCTTAACTGGTTCGGCTCAAAACAATCATGTTTGGTTTGGCAGCTTGATCAAAAGATTTATTTCTTACAGTTGAGGCACAAACACAAATGTAACTCCAATACAAAAGTAGTTACATGTGTATTTTCCACACAGCTCTCGTTCACGTGTCCTAACATGACTAAATTATGTCTTACGTCGGTGTGATAACTCCTGTTTTTTAAGGTAACCAATCAGATAAGGTATACAACCCTCGAGATATGGTGACAAAGAGATGATTCATTCATATATTGCCCAGTGCCAGCTGGATGGGTCCACTGGTTGCTATTAAGACTTTATTGCATGTGTCAGGGAGACAGAAAGAGAAAGAAAAAGCTGGCGTGTGCTTTCATATATTCATGCATAACAAAAATCTGTTCACTTCAATTGCTTGTGTTTTGAAGTTCCCAAAAATTGCAGCTACAACAAGTCAGACGCTGTGCTGCTCCTCTGACCAGAAATTCTGAGAACTCACCATTCCCTTCAAGGAGCACACTGAGGAAGCTAAGGGCAAAGTATGGTGAGCTACAAGAAGAATGTCGAAGCAACAGGTGGCAGGTGCTCATTGAGGTGGGATGCAGAGTCTGCAGGTCTCACAACATGCCAGGCATCACATCACAACAGCCAGTATGTGAAAACAACTGAATTTGGACATCGAGGCAGCAGAAGTTATTTTGGATCAGAAGATTAGAGCCATTGGTGGCATAACGGTACCTGGATACAAGCTGGGGCTCGATCAACCAAGGTGGGTTGGCTGGATGAGAGTGTCTGATGTTAAAGACCCAAAACATCCGAAGACCCTGATGATGTGTCCAGGTGTATTAAAAGAAATGTGCATATGTTCTACTATAGTCGTTTAAAGATTTATTTTGGTCTCAAAACAACGTGAGCATTTCTGTTTTGCATGCAAGCATTTAGGTTAAATGCATTTGTGACCACAGGTGGAAGATTCACTCAGCATCTTACAGTGTATAAGTCAGATAAACATGACCTTTGGCTTCACTAGTTGATGCCAAGCTACAAACTGTTACACAGAAACGATGACATAGTTAATATGAACTTACCTTGAGGTGTCCAGCGTGCATGTTGGCCCTCTGACACATGGACAGGAAGTGGGGTAGCGCCGTGCGTTCCAGCAGGATGTAGACAGAAACCTTTTTTTTGAAACAGGCATCTAGCAAATCTCTGAAGATGTCGACATCGGTGAAGACATCCATGACCACCCCTATCACCTGGAGGTGCACACAAACACAGAAACACAACCTCGATCACACACGGATACTCTCACATTAGCCTAGAATGGTCAGACTAGGGGGGAAATACTCTGGCTTGTTTGCATTTCTTTTTATTTCATTTCTGTCTCTTTTTTTTTAACCTAACACATTGGGTGGCTTTAAATTTAGGATGCAGCACTAGTGCCACTACTAAAAAGTGTCAAGGAGGACTCTTTTTGCTGGAAGATGCTTGACAAATAAGCTTTTTTTTCCATAACTGGTGAGCAAACAAGCCAGAATGTTCCTGTTAGACAGCAAATGTTGTCAAAATATGCTTTGGAAATCTTGACAAGCATTCTCCAAAAGACCCAAACAGGCCCGCCTTATTGCTAGATTGGAATCTTCGTCCAAACTTGCTGCTCAGAGGTTTCTGCTGGTTCTTGTCATAAAGCATATTTTGAAAACAGTGACATGCAGATAGTGGAAGGGGAGGACAAGGCTTGCTGACATGCGACTACTCTTGTGCAGATGCACATAAAGTTCATGCATAACCTTAAACATACATGTTGTCGATACATACACGCATGCGTCATGGGATTAAGCCTTGAGCTCAATGCGAGGATGTTTGAACATGCAAACATTGTACAGTTTCACCCTTTTCTGCCAAAACAAATAGGATTCAGGTTGTTCTTCAGGTCTGACTGAAATATGCGAGTCTCTTGTGCAACAGAAATATCTGGCGATAAGAATTAAAAGGGAGATATGAGTGTTCTTCCAGCTCATCAGCACTTTCTGTCAGAAGCTCTCAGGTGAATGATCTAAGACCTTGTCAAGCGAACAACGAATGCCAATGAGAACAGCTGCGAACTGAGGACTAAAATGTGTCATAAACCTGTGGCTCCAGATGACTCAGCCGCATTCAGACACAAACCGATATACATGCATTCGCTCATGCAAATACGCAGCGCAACACACATGCTCCAGTGTTGGAGGATCGGTCCCAGCGCTTCTTTCTGTTGCTGATAAAGCAGCTTAATCAAGCTGCACTTTACACTTTATTGTCTCGTCTGGTCAGCAGTCTGTACTCTGACCCGACTGGCTGCTCATGGCAACCCGACGTCAACAGTACAGGAAATCTTTGGAGGCACAGCTGGTCTGAGAAATAAAGTTGTTTAAAAAGCTTGTAATGACTGAAATCCAGCATGCCAGATCTTTTTAAATTTATTTTTGGCCATAAAAAACTTAACTCAAGCGATAACAAAATAATTGGATGGTTTGTTTTGATGCATAAGCACGAAAACATGAGTATTGTTGAGTTGAGAGTTTCCTAGAAAGCAAAATCAGACTGAAATCAAATTAAAAGTTATGACTGATGTTGCATGAATGATTTTCTTTTTTGTTTTTCACCATAACTAACACTGAAACAATACTGAACCTTCATCCTAAGAATCAGTCTACATCTACATTTTGGCTGAATAAGTAGCGACATAATAGCTATTCAACAATCACTTTAAAGGCAGTATACATTTGAAGTTTAGCCGGTTCAAAATTGAAATATTACCTTTTTCTGTACTTTATTGTTGTTCAGAATGCAATAAAAGTTACTACAGCAAAAAAAGAGAGAAAAACTTCCAAAAAAAGTCGCTTCAAAAGCAAGTTTGACCAGTTTTCTGCTGAAATACATCTTAACATCCTCAAAAATATAAATAGTACATTGTATAGGAAGTAAAAGCAAACTACATCATATGTTGTTGTCAAAAAAATAAAATAAATGTCATTATTAGCTTGTTCTGAATTACTTTTGCAGAATATAAACAATGCAAAGACATGAAACTATACGAAAACACATTGGAATTACTGAAAAATGACAGAAGACAGTATTGACATGTAGTTTATACTGTGTATTTACACTGTATCTAATTTCCTATTGATTGATCAAACTGTTTACATTGTTAGTAAGTATACACTGCTCATACTGCCATTGATCTCTTCCTGTAGATTCAATTGATCGATTTCTATACTGGATCCACATCTATATATTTATCGGTTAATGTGTTCATAGCACTTCGTTCAGACTGTATATAATGCACTTTACTGCTGCTTTTGCACATCTGGTTTGATGCTCAACTGCATCTTGTTGTCTTAGCACTTGTGCTCTGTGCAATGATGATTAAGTTGAATCGAATGCAATCTAATATGATAATGAAATGCTACTTGTGCTTGGTCAGGGTTGGAGTGCAGAAGTAACAAAACACCCTGCAGACTTAAATATTCACCATGTTTCAGTGTTGGATCAATACGCTGTGGTATCATTCTCTTTTTACTTATTCATCAGTAAATAGGGCAGTTTTTTTATTTACTGTAAAAATCTAGTATATCTTAGGACGCCATGAGGACATCACATCCACATCACATTTCTACTGTAACTTGGTTAGAGTGCAACGAAAATAAAGTTGAATCTAATTTTCAAGATGACAGCAAAAAATGGCAATAAACAATGGTACACATTTAGAGAGACAATAAATAAGGTTTACATTTTAGTAGGAAATTCTACTTGAGCAGACAGAACTAAACAGATGTCAACAGCTCTTTCAAAATAAAAGCTCAGCTGCAATTAAAACAGCTGTCCCTCTCAATTAATGTGACTGACGTGTTGTTTAATTACATGACTAATTGCCGGTGGTCTTCCTACCTTTTGCGCCTGTGCAATCATCTTCCGGACCACCTCCTTGATGTGGACCTGACCCTCCATCGGCGGCTGCGTGTACACGGTGGTGCGCGTCACCCCCCGGTACCCGTCGCTGTCGGGCCAGCCCAGGTCCATCTGCGGGATGGACGTGTCCGACAGCTCTGGCCAGTAGTGCAGCGACAGCGGCTCGTCCTCGTCGCCCTCCGGGAAGAGCTCGGAGCCCGGGTCGTAGGGCTCCACGGTCCGGGCCAGAACCTCGAGCTCCGGGTCGGACAAGAAGCCCCGCAGGCCGCGCGTCTCCAGGTACTTCCCGAAGCCCTCGCGCCCGTCGCGCAGCAGAACCTCGAGCGCGAGCCGCTGGTCCTCGCAGTAGAAGAACTCCGGTTTGGACTCGTGCGTCCGCGGGTTCACGTTGTTGTCGTCCAGACACTGGATCTGGGAGAGAGCCATGGCTCCGGAAACTTCAGCAGAAACGAAAAAAAAAACAAAAAAAAAACTAACTCCTCACAGGTGAGTTGGGGTCCAGGTTCGGTATGTTGCTCCTTATTCCATGTCGTATCCCGCTTCCATCCGCCGAGCAGCTCCTCCGGCCGGCCATGCTGCGTTAAAAGCCATCATCACCCTGAGTGAGAGTGAGAGTGAGTGACATGCTCCAGGAGCACCTGGACAGGTGTGACCCAGAACACACCCACACACCCAGAACACACCTACACACCTATGCGGGCCTCAGTCACGTGACTGCTTTCCAGCCTGGTGCCAGATTTTTTTCTTTTTGTCTTTCTTTTTTTAAATAAATAAACCTTGGCCCTTATGATGGACCACAGAGGTGATTAATGCCTCCATCCCTCCCTGCTCTTAAATCATTATCTCTTCAATACCAACGCTGGAACATTAAGTGAACCGTAACTGTGCAGTGCTGTTTTACCTGTTCTGTCATGTTTCTGCGAAGTGGGAGAGGCCCAGCCTGACTTTTGAGAAGATCAAAACTAAGCACATGCTACTTAACTGCTTTACAGAAAGGCAAAAAAACAAGATGAGAGAGAGAGAGATCAAAATGGAATTAATGGGCTTAAAAATAAAGCATGTAACCACAAGAAAGTTTGATGTTTTGAGTCTTAAGCCAACCACCATCTGACCTTTGGATTCTTTAGTATTGGTGCAATGATCTGTGGAAAGTGAAGCCAAATTCCCAAACATGATGATTAAGTTTAAACACTTGACAGCCAAAAAGGACGAAGAATAGAATAGAACATTCTTTATTAGTCCCACAAGGGGAAATTTGCAAAGTCACAGCAGGAAACTGACAGTAAGAAAAACAAGAAAACACCAACAAAGTATATACACTATATAAATACAAAGAACACAAAGATACGAAGAACATGAATTTAAGAATAACAAGGATACTAAGAACATCAGTTTTATTCTTAAATTTGTGTTCTCTTTGTTCTTGTTCTGTTTTTCTTATTTATATTGTACACAGTTGAAACCAGAAGTTTACATACACTGTAGAAAAAGACATTGAACCTTTTTTTTCTCACTGTCTGACATTTAATGTGACTAAACTTTTCCTGTTTTAGGTCAGTTAGGATCAGAAAATGATTTCTATTTGCTAAATACCAGAATAATGAGAGAGGATCTTTTACTACTTTCTTCAAAGTCAGAAGTTTACATACACTAAGATTACTATGCCTTCAAACTATTTGGGAAAGCCCAGATGATGATGTCATGGCTTTGGAAGCTTTTGATTGGTTAATTGACAAAATCTGAGTTAATTGAGGGCTGCAGGGTGGCACAGTTGGTAGCATTGTTGCCTCGTAGCAAGAAGGTTGCTGGTTCGCGTCCCGGTGGGGGCACCGGAATCTTTCTGCGTGTAGTTTGCATGTTCTCCCCGTGCAGTGTGGGTTCTCTCCGGGTTCTCCGGCTTCCTCCCACACAGTCCAAAAACATGTTGAGGTTAATTGGTGATTCTAAATTGTCCGTAGGTGTGAATGTGAGTGTGCTTGGTTGTCTGTCTCTAAGTGTGGCCCTGTGATAGACTGGTGACCTGTCCAGGGTGTCCACTGCCTTCGCCCTAAGTCGGCTGGGATAGGCTCCAGCCCCCCCGCGACCCTCATGAGGATTAAGCGGTGTATAGATGATGGATGGATGGATGGATGAGTTAATTGGAGGCACACCTGTGGATGTATTTTAAGGCACACCTCAAACACACTGCTTCCTTTTGTGACAACATGGAACATCTAAAGAAATCAGTCAAGATATCAGGGAGAGAACTGTGGACCTCCACAAGTCTGGTCCATCCTTGGGTACAATTTCCAGAGACCTGAAGGTTCCACGCTCACCTGTTCAAACAATTAAATGCAAATATAAACACCATGGGAATGTCCAGCCATCATAGCGCTCAGGAAGGAGACGGATTCTGTGTCCCAGATGAAGTGTTTTGATGCTAAATATGCGAATTAACCACAGACTCTAAAGAAAGTAATAAAAAAATTCTCTAAAAAATTTGGTCTTTCATTATTTTGGTTTTAAGCAAATGAAAATAATTTTAGTAATTCTAACTGACCTAAAAAGGAAAAAGTTTAGTCACATTTAATGTCAGACAGTGGGGAAAAATGGTTCTGTGTCTTTTTATACAGTGTAACAGTAACTTCTAGTTTTAACTCAACCGTATTGTGAAACAAGTCTTAACAAAAACAGTGAATGGCCCACATAGCCTAGAGGTTGTTTTTTTTAAAGACGGTGATAAATCTCCTATATTTCAATTACCTTAATGGAGCTTCAAGTATTGTCAGAGAGATAAAAACCTCTGCACCTCCCCTCATTATCAGTAGATTACAGTCACAGGACGGCCTTGTTTTTGATCAAATAAGACGTGTGTGATGCAATTACATTTCATTCCTTTACAAGGCAGTCTGAACAAAAACCTGAGGTTGTAGTCAAGGCTGAAGATGGATATGGGTGTTATTTTGCTGCAGGGAAAAGGTGCTATAGCCTGCAGCTTATTGTGTGTTCGCCAGTTGGTCTGCATGCTTACAGCATTCATGTGATGACTGAGGATGTTGGAGTTTATTGGACAGCAGCTATGTGGCTGTAGTTCCAGAAAGTTTTAGACTTTGTGCTTCTTCATCTGATAGAAAATCCACTCAAAAAAATATGTTTTTTTATCTGGTTGTGCACATATTAAAGATCACACGATGTTGTTCCTCATGCTTTTCTTACTCAGAAGATCACGCTAATGTAGAGTCCATCCATCAAAAAGCATTTATTCATTTATTTGAGACACTTGGGGGCAACATTTCCAGTTTTAAGTAATGTATAGGTGTCTACAGTGGAGTCCAAGAGTCCACTAGTAAAGTTGCTTCTATTATTTTGCATTCGTTTCTTATATAATATGAAACCTTTCACTGCAACTGAAAAACAGCTGTTTAAGTGAAAAGTTAAATCTCTGAAAAATATACACACGTTTTTAGAACATCTCAGTATTCGATGGTGATGAACCAACAGAAAACAAAAACAGGTGCAGCTCATTGAGCAAATGGAGACTCCCAGCGTAAATGAATACCAACCATTTAACGGCAGCAATATTTCTCTACGCACAATTCAAATGAAGATTGCTTAATAAACTGTTGATTCAATGCATAATAAATTGTAAAACACCTTAAAAAAACAAACTTAACAGAACATCTCTCTACAGTCACCTCCCTCCACTGGACTAATTTGTTCTAACGAGGTAGTTAGCATCAAGGTGACTGACATCATGTGGCTGCATCCTCTGTGGAAACAGCACCCAGGAAGCACAACTCAAATGGAGAACGAGTAGTAGGAGTTTTCAAAGTAAAAGCTTCAAGTATTAGTTTTGTGGAACTTAACTCCATCAATAAGACTGCTTTCACCAATCTTGTGTTTTAATGACATAAAAGCTGGCGTAGAATCTCTTTTTTTTTTGTTTTTGCAAAATTTGATAACCAGTTTAATCCCAGCATAACTGAACAGTGTTGTTTGGGATGTCAGGACTCTTCAAGTGCTTCCATAAATGTTCAATAGTCAGATGACTGTGGAGAAAAGTCCACTATGGTCGACAGTCTTGGTTGGTTTGGGCTCATTGTCGTGCTGCAGTATGAATCCTTCTCTACAAAGATACAAACCAGACAGTGGAGCTTGTCTCAGAATAATGAAATGCTATTTCTTCTTGGTCAGGATGGAGTTGATTCAGTGCAGAAGTAGTAAAACACCCCCAAGTATCCCCACCATCACGTTTCACTGTTGGTTTGATTTGCTGTGGTGTCATTCTCGCTTCCTTACATATTAATCAGTTAGGAGGACTTTTTCTTCCCCAGTCCTCTACTGAAAAATGTTGGTTTATCTTAGCCAACCAAGAGGACTGAAGCTGGTCTGAGGTTGTGATCTGTAAGTTCTAGGCGTTCCAGGAACAGCTGATAGAAAAGACTTTCTTGGGGATCCCTTTATTGGGGTTTGTAGTGTCTCAAATCTCAGTGTGTGTTAGGGCTTCAATTTGAGATATAACCAAATGTAAGTGTTTTTAAGGCTTTTTTTGGTTGCTGTTTTATATGGACTGGCAGAATTCTGCATGCGGGACCTCTATTAGATGCCTGTGCAGTCCTAATGACTGAGTTGACCCCAAGCTCACTACCGTAGAGGGCGATTGATTGGATTACTCTGTCAGATATATTAGTCCAAATTGTAATTGGTTTGTCTATTTTGTAAGTTTTTCTTCTGATTGCACAAATTGCTCTACATGTTTTTTGTCTCACTACATCAACTCCCAGATCAAAGTTACCTGAGGCGCTGGTTCTGATCCATCACACGGTAGGGTCTCGATGGGTGTTTGAGATGATATTTGGTTTCCTGAGATGTGGGTTTTATTTTGGAAGATCATGATTTTAATTTTGTTAAGTCTCACTGCTGGTCCAAGTGTTTTTGTGTTGCGGGTGGCAGCAACAGTAGGTCATCGGCATAGAGCGCAAATTTAATTTCCTCCTTAGTACGGGTTAAACCAAAGGTTCCAGATTGCTTCAACACAACTGCCAAGTCATTAATATAGACGTCAGATAATGTTGGAGGTAAGCTCTTGCCCCAGAAGACGCCTCTGCCTTGACTGAAGAGACGTGTAGTTTTCTTGTGGAGTTTTATACAACCTTTTTTAGCTACATATATTGACTTAATTATGTTGGAAATTGTGTCCCTGTGGTGAATTTATAGTTTTATCACTGTTGCCAAATGGAGTCAAATGCAGTGCTAAACTCATGAAAACATGCAAACAGTTAACCCTTGATATTTTTGTTGGTGTGTATGATGATTAATTAGAGTGTGTACAAGTGGTCAGTAGTAGCGGTTCAGTAAAAAGTCCTGCACCCAAGGCCAGAACCTGGGCACTGATAAGACAATATAAAGAAACATCTCTTCCCCACATTACTGCTCTTGTAGTTCTGACGATATATCTCGTCAGCCTAAATGAAATCATTCTGATTAAAATGATCTGATAAGATGCATGTTTACATGACCCAAAGCATCTACTCAGAACATGAGCTGCTGCCCACCTTGAAGCATCTAATCTGCAAGAAATATGACAAATGAATGCGTTTTCTTTTAAATTTAGAACATTTGCTTTGTTCAGTAGAACATGACCAAGATGGACTCACTTTGTGTCCTCGGAACATTTGTCGGGTTCCTGTTGTTCTTTCTAATTAACTTGTAGTCTCAACAACACATAACTGTCCTGCAGTTTTTAAACAGGATGAATCTCGGCTCACGCTCTTCCGTCAAACACCAGAAGCCAGTGAATGGAATTAAAGACTGGTGGGAGAGAATTGTCCTCACAGAGTTTACCGATGGGGAATGGAACACGGGTTAAACATGCATGGAGAGAATGTGTTTATTCCAACCAGAAAAAAACAATCATATTACACCGTTACTGGGAGCTGATAACAGAAAGATTTAAACCTCTCCTCTCAATCAGGCCGTTATCAGGGTGGTTACATGAGCTATTTTTATTCTGATTGGAATTTTAGAGTCCATGTAAATGCAGATTATGTGCTGGAGCAGAGTTGGTAGCATTTTTAAGCAAAATAAGAATCCAAAGCTGCTTCCTGATAGATGGCAGTAACTAAATAACCCCTAAACACCTCCAACTTTTTTTAACGCCGTCTGCCTTGGGTTGGCGCCACCGATTAAAACGTTTCGTGACTTCGAAGGTGAATCTACTTTGCTGACTCATTAACATCCAATCTCATCCTTTGCCGGCTGGCGGTTTACGACTAATTATCTGATAAACTGTCCTGCTGTTTTTACAGGGATGTCGGAGAGGTTCGCAGACTGATGATTTCTCTCCCTCTCCTCGCCGTCAGGGCCCCGACCAGCCAGAGGCCAATCAGTCAGTCAAACTGGTTCAACTGTTTTGTTTTATTTGCTTCAGACGCCCGCGAATAGCATTGATGTCACAGCTCGCACACCTTCCCCTGCTGTTTGCGCTTTTACTGTCAATCTCATTCTCTGCTGCCGACTCACTGCTCGCTCACCCCGCCGCCCCATATTTCATCAGTATTCTGGTTCGTCCTGTTTTTTTTTCCCCCCTCTTTCGCCGCGCCGCCTTTTTCTCTGTTTAACATATATTTGCTTTGCTTTCAGTTTTCTTACATTGTCTCACTTTTAGTGCATGACACAAATACTGTATATCGCTTTAGCGCTTCAAAGTGACTCAGCAGATTTAAAAATATCAGTGGAAGAAAACAGCAGAGCTATTTCTGGAACACTTTTAACTCCTGTCTTCTGTTGGATGACGGGGGGGTTTCATTGATGAAATGTCGCCGGCAGCCAGGGGTGACTCTTTTAGGAAGAATGCAGAAAAGCGGTTTGTGTAGAAAGAAAAGAGACGAGAGAATGAAAGAAGTGCCTCGTCTCCAGGAGAATTATGGGATGAAAGCGTGCGTCCTGCCTCGTTTCAAACACCACATTCTGGTGTGAGAAGCGGCACTGCATTCCTCACGTAGCACCAGTCAAATGTCAGACCACGCCGTGACAACATTAATGACATGTTGACAACAAGAATGAAATGCCAGTGACATCCCTCCTGGCTTGTGTAAAACATACAACGGCATATTTAAGATCCTACAAGCGCATACAAATACAGTAAGACTGGTGTGTTTAAACTGCAAAGACGTATTTTATTATTACCTAAACTATCAGTTATTTAGCCTATAAAGTAATAAAAATAGAGACGAGCATGAACAAACAAGAGTTTACATGGTTGCTTTTCCTGATAAGTTGTTCTCCATTGACTAATCAATGACCTTCCCACCAGTAATTGTCTGCACAACAATATATTCCTTGCAGTAACAATAAGTACAAACTCCTTCTAATAACTTGCACGTTACATCAAATATCACGGCAAATGTCATGAAGTTGCAATGTGCACATGAAAGCAAAAGTCTGGAGAAAGCTTGTTGATATTTGCCGAGTTAGAGAAGCACAAAGTCGACTGTGTAGCTTCTCAGACAACCACTGATTCGCCGTTTTGTTGTATTTCATTACTGCAATTGCGTTATGTGCAATTCGGAGGTCTGGAACCAGGCTTAAACTGCAGGGAATAAAATGATCGACATTAGAACAACTTACATAAGAGTATGGGGCTCACAAAGCTATTAAATGGATCCTTAGAGTGTTTCCACTTGTTAATTTAAGCGGAAATTACAGATGCAAGATATTGGATTTTGCCGATTTTAGGTTCCTTTCAGCCGATTGCCCATGCTGATATAGGCACATATTTTTTTCCACCTCATTGCAGAGAGCATTGGGTCTCCCTGTAGTGGAATTACCATATTATTATTATTATTATTATTATTATTGTGCCTGCTTTCACCATGATGGCTCACTGGCAGGTGCACACGTCAGTTATAACAGTTTTCAAACGTACTCATTCACTGGGCAAAACTAAACAGCTTCGGCCTACATGCAAAACATGCTATATGTAAACAAAACTGAGAAGTGTCAGCCTGACAGGCATCTTTCAGTGCTTATTGTGTGCTGATGTATGATCTTGTTGTGCATCCCAAGTTAAAATCTTTTGGTAAGTACAGTTGAAACCAGAAGTTTACATACACTGTAGAAAAAGACACAGATACCTTTTTTTTCTTACTGTCTGATATTAAATCAGACTAAACTTTTCCTGTTTTAGGTCAGTTAGGATTACCAAAATTATTTCTATATGATAAATGTCAGAATAATGAGAGCGAATGTTTTCGAGATTTTGTTTTTTTGCTACTTTCTTCAAAGTCAGAAGTTTACATACACTAAGATTATTATGCCTTCAAACTATTTGGGAAAGCCCAGATGATGATGTCATGGCTTTGGCAGCTTTTGATTGGTTAACTGACAACATTTGCGTTAATTGGAGGCACACCTGTGGATGTATTTTAAGGCACACCTCAAACACACTGCTTCCTTTTGTGACAACATGGAAAATCTAAAGAAATCAGCCAAGATATCAGGAAGAGAATTGTAAGAGAGAGTCATTATCCACAGTGAAACCAGTCCTGTACCGACATGGGCTGAAAGGCTGCTCACAGAGGAAGAAGACATCACTCCAAAAGCAACATTAAAAAAAGCCAGATTACAGTTTGCAAATGCACACAGGGACAACTTTTGGAGACATGTCCTGTGGTCTGATGGAACTAAAATTGAACTCTTTGGCCATAATGACCATCGTTACATTTGGAGGAAAAAGGGGGAAGCTTGAAGCCTGAGAACACCATCCCAACTGTGAAGCACGGGGGTGGCAGCATCATGTTGTGGGGGTGTTTTGCTGCAGGAGGGACTGATGCACTTCACAAAATAGATGGCATCACGAGGAAAGAACATTAATATTGAAGCAACATCTCAAGACATCAGCCAGGAAGTTGTAAACTTCTGGTTTCAACTGCATTTCAGATTTTTTGTGTGCTCTAGTCATTCAAATGAGGATTTTATCGTATGTAAAAACACAAATTAAGGCTCATGTTTTCAATTACAACACTGTCCAAGCTTCAGGTTCAAAGAGGTAAATGTATCACTTTATTGAAATGATTTGTCATTACAGGTTAAGGAAGACCGGTCCATGTTCTCACTGTTCAATCACATAAAATGTGGTTCTCTTCAACATTTTGTTGCAACAAAACCTTTGTACAATGTTTCATCTCAATTGCTGTATATGTATTTGTTTTTAAGATTACACATGAATAAGAATAAATACATAGAAACAAACAAATGTTCCATAAATGGAGTTGAGCGTATTACATTTTTTTAAAAGCATTTTAAAACAAAAAGTCTGGGCAGTGTTCATCTCTCTGGTCGCTGTAACAGTAACCGGGCTGCACACAAACATACAAGCACACGACAAGCGTCTTTAATTTCCTGCAGACGTGCTCTCAGCAACACACCTTGCATACATGCATGTAAAGTTTACAGGTTTACATGCGTCCACACTCACATTCTACACACACACACACACACACACACACACACACACTCGCACTCATGCAGCAGCCTGGTGAGAGAGGAATCTGCTGTGTCAGTATCCTCCGAGTGTTTGGCCCAGATATTCACAACACACAATGGCTTTCTGTGTCTCTCTGCTCAGTTCACCGGATCTCCTCGTGGGAACGACGACAAAATACTGGAGCAAATCTGCAGCGGAGAGAAAACTCTGCCCTTCCTTCCCAACCTCCCGTGGGCCACACACACACACTTCATTTTCCCCTCCTTCCATCACGTTAGTGTTTGTGTGCGTTACTTCTGTTTAGTCTGCACCGGTGCTGATAAGCTCTAATAAATGAGTATATGTGTGTTTCACTGTGTCTACGTGAGAGTTCGCCACAGTGTGTAGGTCCATGTCTGCATTTATTTTTTACATGTTTGAAGAGAAGCGGGATCTGGTGGAAGAGACTGACGAGCAGCTGATGTTTGTCTGAGAGGTGACGTCACAGGGAAACAGGCGTTACATAATGAGCAGTTCGGTGGCAGCTCGGTCGCTCGCTCCAAAAATTAATGTGTTTGTGTGTCTGCTGGGTGCGGTCGGGGCGGCTCGCCAACGAACCTGCAGGGACGGCCGTGTGTTTGTTTCACATGTCGGTGGGTCACTGGCAGTGGTAGACGGGCTGGACGTACTCCGGAGGGAAGTAGCCCACGCGTCCGTGGCAACGGCCCCTCCAGCGCAGCGAATCGGAGCAGTCGATGAGTTCGATGACGTCGCCGCGCAGGAAGCGCAGCTGGGACGGATGGTGGGGGGTGAAGTCAAAGAGAGCGTGGGCGTGGTGGGGGCGCTGTGGAGGGGCGAGAAGAGGGAGGAGGAGGAGGAGGAGGAAAAACCAGAGAGTTAATGAAAAATTTAGGCCACAACTTTTGCTACACTCTTTGCATGACCAATAAAACTGGGACAGACTGAGAGGGGACATCATTTATTTTAAAATGGTCTCATAATGTAACAGAATATGCAGCATGCACCCAAAATATCACGATACCTTGATGCATACCTCGCATACTTACTTGCACTTTTTATACTGTTAATACTGTTTATACTGCGTTAATGCCCTCGAAGCTCTTCCAGTTAGACATTTTAAATGATGTCATTTTTTTAAGTGCACTTTTGGTTGGATGTTAACTGAATTTCTCTGTTCAATGACAAAATCACATCTGATCTAATCTAAAGAAATAAAAATAAAAAAAGGTAATACAGTAGTCATTCTCACTCCCGTGCTGCAGACAGTCATGAATCATTATCACCATGGGACATTCGCAAATTAGCAAAACAAAGCTGAATGATAATTATATAGTTTCACAGAATTTGTGCAGTGATGAGGGTGAATTTAAAGGAACTTTATCGGCTGAACTACTTTCTTGTCAAGCGTTTATCACAGGGAGACTGCAAGACCAGTTGTCGATGTTAGCTTTGGACCGAGTTAGTCCAGCTGCATCTTGCTGTTTTCATTCTGTGCGAAGCTAAGCTAACCAGCTGCTCCTTGAGCTTCATATTTAGCACACAAAGTGGTATCAGTCGTCTCTCAGCATATTTCCAAACTGTGTTGTTATGGCATCTGTCTGTGCGCCTTCTTTCTCAACATTTCCTAGGATATTGAAATAATCAGCACACACTTCTGCAGATGTTACATTTCTGTGCTGCAAATGAACAATAATGAAAACTTTCAGGGATATTTTTTTAGTCCGGTGTGATTAAATGTGGCTTAGTGTTGCCTCGTAGCCTGGATGCTGGGTTCAAATCCCAGCCAGGGCCTTTCTGTAAAGAGTTTACATCCTAATGCTTACATGGTTTTCCTTCTAAGTGCCCTTCGTCAAGGCACGAGCTTAGAGCAAGACTTGGTCTCTCGGTGCCAAACGGTGGCTGCCCACTGCCACGAATACTCAGAATGAGTTAAATGCAGAGAATGAACTACCCTATGGGGCTCATTAAAGGACAGCTTTTTAACACAAACCACGCGGGTGGTTCTCAGCGAATGTATTGTTTCTATTCACGTGGGTGGAGTCTGACTCACCGGATGTAGATTGTGGGTGTAAGCCCGCCATTGGTCGCACATATGACATGGATTTCCGCTATTTATATGTCACACTTTTTAAAATCCCCCTCAGTACAGGAAACAACAACCTCTGACCACACTGAGACTTTCAAGTATTTCCATGGACTTGAGTCGTGGCAGTTCGGTAACCCAGCTAGTTTTAATGACAGTTTTTGCTGCCTTACCTCCACATTTTGTGTGCAAATGTTCCACCAAAACCAACACCATCGCTGGCTTAGCTACAATAATAATAATTAATTAAAATTTTCCCACCTAGTAGATTGATGTTCAGGTGCAACCAGACCATTCAGTGCTGCAGAATGGTCTGACGATGCAAAACTAATGCCAGCGCAGCAGCATAAAGAGCAAAGTAGTTGTTTGGAGGATGTGGTGATTAATAAATTCACTCTTAGTCAGTCACATGACTCTAAAACAGCAATCACGGTGCTAATAGAAACAAATGGAATAACATCTCTTGAGGAAATTATGCTATTTCCTAAACTGCACACTGTAAAAACACGACACCTCAAATCTGCAACCAAAGGCAGATGGTGTTTTTAAAATTATTATTATTATTTTATTTGTACAATAATTATACACAGAAATGGGGGAAAAAAGCAGATGAATCTGTTTGAATGACTGCATCAATCCAGGGCTGCATCAGTGAGACACAACAGCCTTTGCACCGTGATGTATTTCAAGAAGAAAACATGCAATGCAACTTTTTCCTTAAAGAAAAGTTGCAAAGGAGGGAATAATACACAAGACTGAGCTGCTGTTATCCAACATCTTCCACATGAATGACAGAATATTGAGTCATAAAGAGGCAGATGTGTGCAGTATTCAGTGTGGTTACACTCCTGCAGCCTGCTGTTATCTGAATGTGGTTTTATGAAGGGAAAGTCAGTGGATGCTGGATGTGATGGAGGTTTAATCAACTAAAAGACAAGCTTGTCTCTTATTATTAAATTGATATGGACAGCTGCAAGAATCACTTAGTGTTGATTTTGCAAACTGCTTACACATTTTTCATACCAATTCAATCCCATAAGCAGTCATGGGTTACTTTTGTTTTCCTTCCTCGCTGATTCACTAAATCTATTAGAATTATTAAAATACATTCTACTGTAAAATAAATATTTCTGTGTGCTTATACTTTTTCAATTTCTTGTCATGTTTACTACTTAATTTGTTGGACAGTCTGTCAGCATGGATGAAATATCAGTTGGTTTTTCAAAAATTCTTTTAAAAAGACATTTTCTCTGTTCAAAGATTGTGCGTTGTTTGGAAAATTTCCCGCTGACAGAACTGAACAAGTTCACGGTGGCCAAGGTTTGTTTTCTCGTCTTCGGAAAAGTTCGAGAGGTGCTATTTAATTCAACAGCCGGGATCCAGTCGGTGAATTTGAAATGGGAAGGTGTTTCTTTGAAGCAGCGGCGCCTGTTTTATTTTATTTTTTCCACCTTTATGGTTGTATTAAAAAAAACAAGAAAAAGAACGTGTGATAAAAACAGTTCAAATAAGTTTGGTAATCAGCCTGTATTCAGGTTAAGAAACCAGCCGACATCTTTTCCATTTAATAAACAATGTGTTCTTTGTTCCAATAAAGTACAAGTATATTTTATTTATCTTTTTCATTTAACATTTATTTAGCCAGACTGTGGTCAGTCTGACCACTGGTGTTAAATATTAATTCTGCACAGGAGGGCGTATCAGGTCAGCATCATCGCTGCTGCATCTGAAGAAACACGTCTGTACAAGCTGCCAACTGAACACTAACACTGACGGGTGACAGGTGGGTTATATATGTGTGTATACTGTTCTCATATGTGATGATGGATCTCATGCAAAGTAGAGAAACCGCCTCCCAACATTTAACCAGAAAAAAACAGCTAAGTAACATTGAGATAACATCTTAATGCCATCTGTCCTGATCAGGTCTGTAGGGAAACAGTGGAAACAGCTGTCCTGACTGTCCAAGGTTAACACGAACCACCCACTGACACCTGCAGAGGTCACTGACTTACACAGAAGTTTGTGTTTTTTACTTGTAGAAAAAGTGTATCAAAGACAAATTTTAGTTTTGCTGGAAACTACATCCCTGTCTTTAGTCTGTACAAAGCTGCTCCATCTGTTTTTATAGAACAGAGCTGAACAAGAAAACATTCCCCTAAATACCAAATTATCCCTTAATATTAAAAACATCCTTGAGTTTTGCCGTTTTTGGGCTATTTAATATTATATAGTATTATACATACTTAAAAATCTGACAGGCCAAATTATTGATCAGTCAGTTGGATTTAAAGCACAGAATCCTCACAATGATCTTTTTTTTTTTGTTTTTTAAGGGTAATATTATGCAACTGAGGAAGCAACAACAAAAAAACAACTCCTTCAGATCAGTCATAGGAGTCTTCCTCCCTCATCCGTCTCTTTCTTGCACAATAACTTAGTTTTTTAAGAACAACCTGCTCTAGGCAGATTTACTCATGTGCCATGTTCCTTCCATTTCTTAATGACAGATTTAACTGTCATCCGAGGGATATTGAGTGACTTAGGAATGTTCTAATCCTATCCCGTGACCTTTAAACAACCTTTTCAGTTGCTTGAAGTGTTCTTTTGTCTTCATGGTGCAATTATAGTCAGGAGTACTGATTCACCAGTGACTGGACCTACAAGTGTCTTTGTACTACAATTACATAAAACACACTCAGGTGATCTCCGTCTCACTAACAGTGTGACATAAACCGGCTGCACCTGAGTTGAATGAGGTGACTCACTTTAAAGGAGGCGAATG